ACATCTGCCGGGGTTTTTATCCGGACTATCGTATGAGAGTCCGTCTTATCAGTTTCCTCCGTCAAAGTACACTTATGACGGCCGCTGGTCATTTCTACTTTCATTTTCGTCCGCGAGCCAGCCTACGCTGATTATGACGACGGTTTTCTTGATAAACCCGGTCGCTTCCTGCCATGGTAGCTCAGCGGTCATCTGGGATGACTAAAAATAACTCGTCAAGGGGAGGGCTCAAAATAGATGCTGTGTCTTGTAACTTGCATGGGTGGCGGTGGCTGCTAGCCCTGACATCAGCGTTCGAAATCAATCCGCATCTGAAGTGCGTGTTCGCCCTAGAAACCTGGGGCGTTTCATTCTCTCTAGACGATCCGATGATTGAGCAGCCAGAAAGGGAAACAACTGTCGTCAACAGATGGCTGGTTCGACACGGGGTAAATATCTGCCCTCAGCCAAAAATGTCTCGAGGTAAGTCCATGGTGTATCCTGTTGATCGCACATTAAAGAAAAGGCATCGGGATAGTGGAATCACCTTGGCGTCAAAACGACATAATGAGACAGAGGTCCTACCTACTACAGGAATCAAAAACCCCAACAGAGGCCCGAGAAACGCGTGCGCACTCTCATCCTCCCCCTAAATCCAATGACGAACCATAGTGATACGGAAGACAATTTCTATAAGCATTCGTACCCCCCCCTTCCCCCTGCTTTTTTGTCAAGGACGACAGGCAAACTGTTCTCGATGTCACTGACACTAGCGCTGGTAGATATCATGCAATCTGGTGGGAGAAACTCCGTCTTTAAAGCATAGGCTGGTGAGACGTCACCAGTCTCCTGATGCAAGCATGTAAAGGACACGATCTTCCACCTTCCGAACTGAGAAAAAACCACGTGGAATGGCGCATTTTCATATCCTTGAGAGGTGCCGCACTACGTCCTTGACGGCTGACGTGATTGGCGTGTAGCACTGGTGGCGCGAGCGAATGCCAAAGAGTTCATGTCTTAGATAAGACAATGCGACCTCAACCAGTTGTGCGACTCCAGTGTAAGAAGACGTCGAGCACGTCAAGTCCCAAAATATTGGATCTGCTTCAATGTAGGATAGAACTCGTTACTAAAACGTACACCGGTCTCAACGAAATAAAAGTCGTGATGGAGGGGAGGACATGCCATCCAGCTCACCGCTCCGGAAGTCGTTTGATCCAAATATTAATATAAAGATTGGGCCGATTAGAACGGCGAATAAACCCGACAACTCTCCGAGAATTACACACAACTAAGAACCTTTACAAGCTCAGACCTATCAAAAGTAGTAAGTAACTTCGCTTTTAAACCTTATGGACAGGGTGTTTGCCCGCATTCTCCTTCATAACACGACCGCAAATCTGCAACGGGGCCCTAATTCAGGTGAGGGTTTAGAAGCACAGGCGTGATCCTCTTAACTCAGTTACCGCAAGGGAACTATCAGTAAATGATGACCGCTCCGTACACTTATCGCAGTGGGTTAAGTTAGTTGTTAAGACCCTTGCCGCTGCGACCTTCAGGTCCGATTCCCTGTGGGAAGAGAAGAAAGGAGACGCCAAGTGTAAGGAATAGTTTATGTCCGGAGGCAGTGGAGAATGGGTAGAAGGAACTTGCCCTTCAGACTAGCATGCATTTGGCCGCGCCCGGAGTGTGAGCGCAGGGAAGTCGTCGCAGCGGTCCCTGTGTGCGTCAGCTCCAGGGAGCTGATTGGCCAGACGGGGGAGGTAGGCGTGCACGTACGTTAGCCACCGTGAAGGATCGAACGT